GAAATGGTCTCTCTGCTTCTATCTTTTCCTCCCACTTTACCCTTTACATGTTATCCAGCCTGATCATTTTAAAAGATAAATCAAGCCATACCATTCTTCTACTCAAAACTCTCTAAAGACTCCTCATTTCCCTAGAGCAAAGGCCAACATCCTTACAATGGCCAGCATGGCCCTTGTGAGCGATCTGACCTCCTCTCCTGTAGTCCTCCTCCTCCTATTGACTCCACTCTGGGCACACAGGCTTCTCTGCTGTTCCCGGAACTCAGAAGCACACTCCTGCCCTCAGACTCCATGCTGAAAACGCCTCCTCCTCCCCAAATGTCTGCTACAGACACCCAAGACACGCTCAAATCTCACTTTCTCAACACAGCCTCTATGACCCGATACTCTGGATTCTGCTTTCTGATTTCCTGCTCATGTGCGAGTCCAGTGTAAATTGGCTGAGGGGCTCTGATCCATCTACCAGATACCCATCTAAGGACATCTGCCTCTACTTGTTTCTTTGGAGATCCTTCCATGTGGCCAGTGTCTACTGGGAGTGAGAAGGGTAAAGAGAAGATGAGAGGGACACATCTGCTTAAAACAGCCTTGACCCAGAAGTAACACAGATCACTTGCAAATAAATTCCGCTGGTGAGAACTAGTCATATGGCCCCATCGGGCTGCAAGGAGGATGGGCTATATCATCTAGGTGTAGGTCCAGGAAGAGAAGGAAAACATGGATATTGGTAAGTAATTCTAATCATGAAATACCTTTTTCTTCCTCTTTCTACACATAAAACACACTTAAATCTCTCGCAAGAGAAAACCTGAGGTCCCATTTAGTCAGTGCATCTAAAGACAAGTCCAGGGCCTCTGGGTACATCGAAGTCTTCTTTAACAAGACCATGTGTAGCTCTTTATGATGCAAACTAGGAACAAACAGGGCAAATTATCTGCACCCACCCTCCCCAGTTCCACTACACAATGAAGGAACACGAGCAGGAGGTTCTTCCTTATCCAATCTCCTCCTTGGCAAAGTGGGCTCTGGCATGCCCTCCCTAGGGGCTGTATAACCTTCATAACCCATCTCTTCCCAGAGCAAGGTCTGGATCCTTAAGAAGTAGGTTTACAGCTCAAATAGTCAAGGGCTTGTTACATGCAGGCTCATGGTTCCTTTGCCAATATACAATTCCCTCAAAAACTTAGTAGGCCTTTGATCTATTTGTTTCCAGTCAGTTCCAAGTGCCAGTAACCACACACAAAGTCCTTTCCTAGACATAATTCTCAAGCCTGATTTATGTCTTTGCCTCCATTCCTCTTGCTTTGAACTAACAGAGGCCACCTGGAGGCCATATGAAACAAAAGGTCAGCAGTTTCCAACTTTGGCTGCATGAGAGAATCACTTGGGGGAACTTTTAAAAACTGCCTTATCTAGGTTTCATATACCTTTGACCCATTAAATCAGAAGCTACATATGTGAGAACAAGGTGATTCTGAGGAACAGCCAAGAACGAGAACTCATGCCCTTATCTGATCTTCACCATAGGACTAAGCTACCTTTCTTCAACTGAGAAAGTTCCCTAGGCCTTTATTGCTCAAAGCCTTTCTCAACTCTTACCTATGGCGCTCCAGGGTCTATAAGCAATCTGTTTTTCCTGTCACTGCTCCAACTGTCAGAACTTTCTCTAGTTCCTTTCATTTTTTGCTTGAAAACTTGTTAATTCTTTCCTAAGCTCATCTCTTTCTCATCATACCTAAAAAAACAGCCAACACACACTCACACTCCAATCCTTTCCAACTTCTGACCTGGAGCTCAGGTGGCACGAAATGTGCCTTCTAAGTTATCATGGATGACAAATTAACCCAATTGGTCACCACTGCATAACACGAGTTTCTGTCCTTCCCAACTCCAATATGAGTGTCCTCATCAGAGCTATTTGACTGCTAAGTCAATGACACAGATTTTAAGGTTTTTTTTTAACAGGACTCTACTTCCAGTACCAACCACTATAGCAAAAACTAAAACCTCAGTAACTTAACACAAAGTTTCTCTCTTGCTCCCATCAATTCAAGTAGGTTGGCAGAATACTCTTCTCCACCCATCATTCAAGGACCTAGTTTCCTTTCATTTGTGGTTTTATCCTCCTATGGGTCCTAATGAAATTCTCCCCACTAAGCTGGCAGAGAGAACAGAAGAGGCACTCAGCTACTAACGGTCTTATTCCCGGAAGACATGTATCACTCCAATCACATTCCACTGATAAGTGCTATTTACATGGTCCTTCTTAGATACGGGAAGGCTGAGAAATGTAGTCTAGATGTATGTTCGGCAAAAATAGGAAAACAGCGATGTCAATGAGCCCTAATGACCTCTTTTATACCCCTTAAAATTTAAGCCCCACAGGGCAGGAATCTGATTTGTTCACAGATGTACCCTACATGCCTGTAACAGTGCCTGGAACGACACAGTAGGAGCTCAAATAATATGAATGAATAATGAATGCACAAAATGAATCACAGATATGATACCACATGGCATTTTTTTCCTAAAATATTTTAAAGTCAAATGAATGATGACTAAAAGAATAAATGAATTACACTGCATAGTTACTTAGGTAAAACATTAAACAGAAACTTTTGGAAAAGTCAAAGTAAACTTCCAAGCACCAATATAACACCTATCAAATCTACAATACAAATTCATATACAAACTTGTTAAATGCACACTAAATTTATCTCTTGTGAACACAGAAAAATATTCACTCAAATACTAGTATAAACACAGTGGGCAATCTTCAAAGAAATTACTATTAAAGTGATTTACACATCTTTTTGTTAGTGGAATCTTCTTTACCCACATCAGTCCCAAAATTCACTCACATCTTCCTCAAAGAACAAGGGCACTGCACATACAGTTCTAATCTTGAAAACAAGTTACACACACACACACACACACACACACTACTAAAAAACCTTACCAGTATGCATCAGTCACACATAATGCATATACTCATCAAAATTCAGAACTGATACCAGCTTCATGCCTATAATACTTGATTTTTCTTGAAATCTCCAGTCACTATAACAACAATAAATGAAATAAAAACAACAACAACAACAACAAAGCTAAAATAAAAATAACAAATGGGAATATGGCTTACTTCACAAGAATGTTGTGAGGATCAAGCAAAAATACAAGAATTCATTTGTGATTTCTGTACCTTCATTTATGTGTTTTAACTCAATGCCAAAATTCAAGAGTATATGAAACGCTGCTTTGTAAATCATAAAGCAGTATTTAGCCACTTATCTTTAAAAAAAATGTAAAATTCCCATTTCTTAAAAGGGCTACAAATTAGCTAAATGAGCAAGTTCAAACTATGACGAACAAGTTCCTCACTTCCCCTCAACATCTAGAATGAGAATTGTCAGAAGAAACATCTCAATGAATCCAATCATTTTAAGTGGTAACAGAGCAAAGAGTTATCTCAGTGTTGAGAGTTAGACTCTAAAAAACAATGGGAAAAACATTAACAAATCAATTAAGTGGGACACTTGCACTTTAAGAAAGGGAAAAGTAACAACTTGAAAATCTACAGATTATCTCTATTCAATGAAAAAGAAAAGAAACTACTACATTGTATTTTTTTTTCCATTGCTTGTTTAAAAATTTTAAATAATCACTCCTCAACCAAAAAAGTACTGGAATTTACAACACAACAAAACCTAGGATAGGATGTTCAGTTTAACGAAATTTTATGGTTAAGTGTAACTGAAAACCTATCTGATTTAAAAAAAAAAATTATCTCTAACATGTCAGAGACGTAGGAAGTGAAGTGTACATGTGGGTTGAAATTTGGTTTGGTTTTTTTTTTTAAACCAATCCCTGATATGAACTTACTTGCCTTTTTTCTTGATTGAGTTTTAAGAAGGCTAACTAGAAAAAAAAAAAAGAAAGAAAAAAACCCCTGGTAATTGAAGCTTTCTAATACTTAAAGTCCAGTAGGATAACCAAGGGTAAGAACCTAAATCCTGAATTATATGTATGACCCTATATATTGTTCTACCCTTTAGCAAACCAACCGACCAACCAACGAAAACTAAAGGGAAAAGTTTTTAAAACGACTTTTGGGAAATAAACGGATGGCATTTTAAAAACTCTGAAAATAAACTGAGAAAAGAGAAGAAAAATGATTGATGCTAAGCTTGTTACGTGATTTATAAACACCGCAGGAAAATCACACGTCCTGCACCCAAATATTGTTATTTAAAGGACTACTTTTGAACGTACGGACATCAATGTGGCAACTGTAAGATACAATATTTCCCCAACCTCAGAGAGATGAAAATTTAACTCCTTTATTTCATGCAGCTTTCTGTGCAACATTTAAACCCTAGAGACATGAAACAAATATGCTTGAGAAAAAGAACTTTAAATCTTACTTAAAGCCCAGAGAGCAAGCTCTGAGGGGATACCCCGCTGCACAATTCTAAAAGAAGAAGACTCTTCTCACTTTTCCACTTCAACTGTAATAATATCCCCATCTCCTGGAACTTTAAAAATTCTCCTTTTAAAATCAAGTGATGAAAATAAATAAGTAAACAAACAAAGAAACAAACAAACCAATAAAACCAGGGGATGAGGCCCAAGGTATTTGCCGCCGTCATGGCCGTCATGGCCGTCATGGCCGTCATGGCCGTCATGGCCGTCATGGCCGTCATGGCCGTCATGGCCGTCATGGCCGTCATGGCCGTCATGGCCGTCATGGCCGTCATGGCCGTCATGGCCGTCATGGCCGTCATGGCCGTCATGGCCGTCATGGCCGTCATGGCCGTCATGGCCGTCATGGCCGTCATGGCCGTCATGGCCGTCATGGCCGTCATGGCCATGGGCCATCAGCGCGAACACCAGATTACCCGGCGTCCTCGCTCGCAAGGCATCTACCCGGAAGCCGGCCCGGGGCCGCCGCGGAGACAGAGTAACAGCGGAGGACCCGGGCTGGGACATAAAGCAATTACCCAGGACGAGTGCTCCTTCATCTGGTGCTGGTTGCTGTGAGGGCCACTGGCATGGCCGCGCCAAAAGCAGTTTTGGCAGAGCTGGTAGTTGTGGCACTGCTGGCACCGGTACCGGAAGCCCATCATGCTCTCGCAGCGGCAGTAGGAGCACTCCACCGGGTGGAAGACTGCGGAAGCAGACAGCGGGGGCGGGGGAGGGAAAGAAGGCATTTTCATTTGGAGGAATAAAGTCAGTACAGGGGAAAACCAAACCTCACGTACACAAGCAAAGATGAAAACGATTGGAAGCGAAAATTCTAAATTGTCTCCTAGTTAACGGAACCTGCCATTTACTAGAATGAAAGGGAAAGACAATAACCCTAACCCTAACCCTAAAGATGAGAAGAGTTTCTCAAGTTATTACATTATATTCCAACCCACCTGAGAAAATAACCAATTTCTTTTTTTTTTTTTAACGAAACTCGTGTTTCTCAAAATTCAGATAAATATGTAAGGAAAGAAGAGAAAGAAGCCTTCTCAGTCTAAAATTTATTTCCCAAACCTGTTGCGTTTTAGAGAGATGTATCATTGTTAGTTGCAGAGACATTTGTTTCGTTCCCTAACATGAGATCCGTGAGAGCTCAGATGATGTACTAAGTGTCTCTGTTACCTGAAAATGGTATTTTACACAGTACCTTTCAACTGAAAGCCTTCAAATGTTGGCTGGATTAAAAGCTATCACACACCTGGGCGTAAGTGGTTAACTGGCTTAAAAAAAAAAAAAAGTAAGGCTAGACATATTACCATGTTAGTTATAGGTAAGAGTTCTTATCTCAATAATAAGGATTTGGGGTCCTGTTTCCAAAAATGGACATTAACTAGGCCATCAAGGCTCAAAAAACAAAAATGAGCACCAGGTGAGGAAAACAATGTAACAGAATCATTAAAGACTGTAAGAAAAGTAAAATCAGGAATGAGAATTCCAAAGGACATCCTTCCTCTAAAAAATTCAAGCTTTTGTCATCAAGATATTTCTAAGGAATAATTTAAGTGCTAATAAGAATCTGTGCTCCAAATTAAAACTATACAATCTAGGGGCGCCTGAGTGGCTCAGGTGGTTAAGCGTCTGCCTTCGGCTCAGGTCATGGTCCCGGAGTCCCGGGATCGAGCCCCGCATCAGGCTCCCTGTTCATTGGAGAGTCTGCTTCTCCCTCTGACCCTCCCCACCTTGTGCTCACTCGTTCTCTCTCTCTCTCTAATAAATAAAATCTTAAAAAAAATTTTTTTAATTAAAAACAATAAAACTACAATCTAGTAAAGTTCCACCAAAGAACACTACTCACAAATCAATCTGGAGCTCACATCAACATAGGCAACATCAGCATACCAGCATTTATAATTCTATACAATTATTTTTGGTTAGTATTAAATAATACATGTACATTAATATTAAATTATCAAGTATATTGATTATCTTGGTTGAACATGTATATCTGTGTGATTTCTCTCCTCTTCTACACCAGTCAAGAGCCACACATTAGACAGTATCATGGGTTGACCAGGTGGAAATGGAAAGAACCAGAATGTGCAGAGGATCATCAAGTGTACTCAGTCAATTATAAATAAGATCAGGTTTTGGTAAAAGCATTCTTTTTGGAAGAACGCATGTTAGTAATCTTATACACGATACACTTGGATTAGTAAAACAATATAAAAAGTACAACTTTTGTGTAACTAAATAGATATCTGTCCTTATAAGTAGTAACTTCAATATAATTCAAGTGATGAATTTCATAGAAAAGGCCCAAACAACAATAAAAATACCATACAGAAATATAGAAATACCATAATTTTAGAATTTATTTCCCCACCATAAAAATTAAGATATGTAGATAAATGTTATTGTGATAGATAACGTTTTATTTTCAAGATATGTTAATGAGTTCATACTATTTCTCTGTCCCTAAGAAAAATATCACTAACTTCATAAGAATGTAATCAACAAATAATACACTATATACAAAGTCACAGTAAAATGTTCATATAGATAACAAAAATCAGGACAAATGAGATTCTTTCTATATGGTATGGCACATACGAAATGACTTTAAGAAAACAAACTGAATATGAAAGTCCTAAAACACTTCAGGCTTTGAAAGTATTGCCTCCAAAAGAGCCAATAATACTTCAGTAATAATATAATAATTTAACAGTATAAATCTCTATCCAAAAATCCTGTTAAAAAATTTAGCCGTTTTAGTTTAGTCAAGATATTCTACACCTTGAAGAAAATAATCCTGAATCTAAGGTACCTGTGAACTAAGGCCACAGTGGGGCAAAAAGCTGAGAGGTTTAAAAACAAAAGGTATGGATGAGAGAGGGAAAAGACAGAGTATGGATGTGCATTTCATTCTCACAAAGGGGAAAAAGAGAGCTCTACTTTTTCGGGCCTCTCAGCTGTTACTGGTTCTCTTTGGCAGAATAAGAAACAGGCAAGAGCCTTGAGAGGAGGTTACATAAGAAACTATAGCCTTTCCTTTAACAAACTCACACAACCTAAACAAGGAGATAAACCGATAGCGATAGAAGAAAGAATTAAGAAGTTACAGGAGATAACTACCATTTCAATTCCAAGCAAGACAAAGATTTAAGTCAAATTCCCGGAAAGGATACCAAGAGTAAGTCAAGATAAAATAGTAAAGGCAGAAAGTGAAGATGTGTGAAGTACCAAATTCTATCGTAGCTATTTTCCTTTAAACTGTTCCAAAATCATTACAGTTTTAGTGGTTGATACTGCATATATCCAATTTTTTAGAACTGTGACTTTTATAAATTAAAGGGGGGGAAAAAAGGAAGTCATGGCTAAATCAGGTGGATTCAAGTGATTCTCAGTGGGGGAAAGCCTGGAGTTTGACCCACAAAGTTTTATGACCTGATATTACTGTTTCTTGGTACCCTAAATAATAAGCCCCCTTCCCCTACTTTTCTTTGAGAAATAAATATCCCTCTTCCGAAAGCTAAAAATCACAAATTCAAATGACACAGTGACAGCAAATGTCAATTATAATTTTCAATGTTAATAGCTAAGGACACTACAAATACCATCAGTTCATGTATTTCCTGTAGCACAAGGGACTGAATGATCAAAGTTCTGCTTACCATTCTCAACATGGGCGAGCCTATGCATGAGAGGTAGCCAGACAAGGCACTGGGGAGGAGGATCGGCCATCATTGTGTCTAAAAACATATTTAGCATTATCTTTTTCTGTGAAGAGAAGAAAAACAAACATACTTTATATTATTCAAGTATCTCTGAATTCCAAATTTAAGTTAATCTAGAATTCTCTCAACCAAGTTGTAATGAATTCCATGTGAAATTCTATAGCAAAATACAACGATATTTTACATTACTATAGACACTGAAACACACTATACATTACTGCTATATTCAAATGCATTTCCACATACATCATTCTGAGTCTTAAAACAACTGTGTAAGGTAAATAGTTGAGGTATCACTATCTTCATCTTACAGATGAGAAATAAAGGAACAAAGCATTTAAATGACTTATAAAGGTCCTGGGGCACCTGGGTGGCTCAGTGGGTTGAGCGTCTGACTCTTCATTTCAGCTCAGATCATGATCTCCAGGATGTGGGATCCAGCCCCGCATCAGGCTCCACACTCAGCAGGGAGTCTGCTTGGGATTCTCTCTCCCCCTCTCCCTCTGCTTCTGTCCCTCTCCCACTTGTTCTCTCTCTTTCTCTCTCTCTCAAATAAATAAATAAATCTTTAGGGGGAAATCAATAAATAAATAACCTGTAAAGGCCCTACCCAAATCAGACACAGAGCGAGGACTGGAACTCAGCTGCCCTTCAAATTACTATTTCTATTACCCACAGGGAAGACAGACATCCCACACCTTATTACAGAACATCAGCGAGAGCAGGAACTACTCCATTTGTTGTTTACTCTATTTCCAGCATTTCATAACAGTGCCAGGCACACAACAGGCACTTGATAAGTAATCACTGAATAAATACTAAAGTGAGGAGCAAACATTGTTAAACATCACTTAACAACTTTCTCATTTACAGAAAGAAAACTAAAGCACAGAGTAGTGAAGTAATTTGACCCAATCACAAAGACAGTTACAATAGGGATGAAAATAGAGCCTGAACACCCACTGTCCATCACTCCCCCATTACACCATCTCCCCAGCTAGACTGCATTTTTGTGTTCTGTCTTTATTTCTCTCTTTTAAACAAATACATATGAAGCTTCCACTGCATGTGGAACACTGGCATAATTACATCCCACTGGGCATAGAAAATAAAACAGTCTAGAAAAAAGAGTCATGTGATGTAGATAGAACAGATTCTCAACAATTTTCAAATTAATGAATTGTCTTTTTATTTCCTCTAACCCACAAAACACCTTTGCAGCTCCAAAAGGAAAGGAAAAAGGAGGAAAAGGGAGTGCCTTACAACTAGATGTGAGAGTTCTGTAATTGCGACTTGGACACCTCGGCCCCCACTTCAGACTTGATTCCAAAACAAGGGTAGAAACAAAAGGGCAGACACAGGAGGGTAGGAAATGCAGGACCAGTAGTAAGTAGGACTTTTCCAAGTCCTGGTCCCACCATTCCAAGGCACGGGGAGGGACTGAGGACTAGGGACAAGCGGACACCAAAAGGCACCCAGAATTTTATCTCAGTCTCTCCCAAGAACTGTGTTCTCAGTCCCACCACTTTTCCTGAAGTGATAACAGGATCTACAAAATGGGGTGTTTCCCCATAAAACTTTAAAATACTTTATTTTGGTGGGGGGGGAAATGATAAAATTAGTTAGAGCTGACCCAAAGATTTTGCCAGTGTATTACAAAATAAGTGATTTTTACCACTATTCACCATAAACTGGAAGCAAGGAGTGAAGGCACTGTGGTGATAAGTCAGGAGGATGGTGGCCTCCAGCATTTGACTGTCCATCATGACACTTTTCCAATGATGGTTACCATCATACAAACAGGAGATTACAGACTCACTTTTGTGTATCTTTTTGGCAACTATGAGAATCTTGATTCCATTGTATGTAAGGAGATAATTCTTATTAAGAATAATCTTTTTAAGGGCGCCTGGGTGGCTCAGTTGGTTAAGCGACTGCCTTCGGCTCAAGTCATGATCCTGGAGTCCCGGGATGGAGTCCCGCATCAGACTCCCTGCTCAGTGGGGAGTCTGCTTCTCCCTCTGACCCTACCCCCTCTCGTGTACTCTCTCTCACTCAAATAAATAAATAAAATCTTTAAAAAAAAAAGAATAATCTTTTTTTAAAAGAAACTGGTAAATAGGGAACAGAAAAAGGAAGATAAAAGTAGATGGCAGAACAAGAAAGAGGCTTTTGCAATAAAAACTTGAAAAAGATGAAGAAATATGAAGGAAAGCCTCTGATCGAGGACAGAGATTGGAGGCCAACACTGAATAGGGTGAAGGAAGGGGCGAGCAAGAGGGCTGACTGAGGGTGATAAAGAGGAAGTTACCATACAAAGGCCCTCTAAAGAAAGCTGTGCTCTGGTGGTGAGGTTTGAAAACTACCTACTCAATCAGGCTAAATAAAGTTTTCCAAAGTGTTTTCCATCTTGGGCATCCAAGTCACTGATGTTTCTGAGACCTCAGTGGAACCTCAGAGGAATGAGTGGACAACATTAAAAATAAAACCAGAAAGTCACCGAAGAATTTAAACGGAGGTCCAGATATGGAAAATGTCTCTAATTATGGATATGCAGATAATTGCAACAAAGCAAATAAATGGAAAGTGTCTACATAAAATTACTGAGAAAGAAGATGCTAGGAAGCTAGTAAGAGGTAGTAACCAAAAACTAAATGTATGTTTAAATTAATATTTCTATATTAAAATTGCATTTCTACAAGTCTACCTATAATCCTAATGCTACTTTTGATTCACCTATCATGGAGGTTTCTTTTTTAATCTTCAAGATGAAAAGGAACAATTATATTTGACATCTCAGAAGACCCTGATTAAAAAACACTCAGGGTCAGTTTACAAAAGTTGTCCTAAGGTCATTTTGTAATTTTGAAGTCCTCCAAAAGCATCAGGAATGAAACCAGAAGAACTCTGTCCAAGTAACTTGTCTTCCATAAACCATGTAATTTGGGGAAAATCATTTGACATTCTGGTTTCAGTTTTCTCACCTCTGAAAGGGTAGAGCAGTGATTCTCAAAGTGTGGTCAGAAGCTGCCCTGTAGGTCCCTAAAACATTTTCAAGGAGCCCATGAGGCAAGAACTATTTTCATAACAATTCTCAGACATTATTTGCCCTTTTCAATTTCAGTCTCTCATAGGTGTCCAGTGGGGTGTGCGAGAAGCAAGGTGGCATATCCACAATCATCTGAAAAAACTACTAAAGCATTCCTCCCTTTTCCAACTCCTCCCTGTGTGAGGTCAGATTTCTTTCCATATTTTAACCAAAACAAAATATCACAACAGAATCAATGGAGAGGCAGATGGGAGAATCCAGCTGTCTTCAATTGAGCCAAATATTAAAGCAATTTGCAAAAATGTAAAACCACAGCACACTTGTTAAATATTTTTGTTTTGGAATATATAGTTATTTTTCATAAAAGTGTATTATTTAAGATGTAACAGGTTTATCATTATTTTTTTTTCATGTAGGCTCCACACACAGCGTGGAGTCCAACACGGGGCTTCAACTCATGACCCTGAAATCAAGACCTGAGTTAAGATCAAGAGTTGGACGACCAACCGAGCCCCCAAGCATCCTATCATTGCTATTTTTAAATGACAATCAGTATCTTTAATTTCTCAAATTTAATTTCTAGTATAGAAATACTAATAGGTATAACCCACATAAACAAAAGCTCTCTGGGGTCCTCAATAATTTTTTATTGTAAAGAGGTCCTGAGACCAGAAAGTTTGAGAATAGCTGAGATAAAATTCCCAGCTCAAAATTCCATGACTCGGTAAATAACTATGTGGAAGACAGGTTGGCTCTTTTTTCTCCTTTTTTGTTTTATTTTGGTTTTTCTTCTTGAGTTGAACACATTCTTTGCATTTCTCCTTATTTTTATAGCACAATGATATTTATAACAAAAACTATAATAAAATTGCAAAAATACACTTTCCCACAATTCTCATTTTGCTATATTTCTCTCCAAATGTATATATGCTTCTATGTAATTATGTACACAGGGCAGACAAAAATATATAATGTTTTTTCACTTAACTTTTTATTAAATATTGTTTTGCAACCAGGTCTTCATTTCTAATCATTTTAACAGCTGCCTGATCCACTGAACAGAGACACCATGATTTATCTCTGCCTTCCACTATAAAACAGGCTGTTTCTATCCTTGTGTGTACTCATTTTTTTCTTGGAAGTGAGCGTTTTTTTGGTCACCTACCTCCCAGCCCTTTGTTATTCTAAGCCTCAATACTGACAATTATTACCCTAGAGCCATTCTCACCTCCTTCCCTCCTCCCATGACTACATTTTCCCTGTTTTAAAGGGGGACAGGGACCATCGCTTAAAAATGAGAAATCCACAAACAATGAATCATGGAACACTTCATCTAAAACTAATGATGTAATGTATGGGGATTAACATAAGAATTAAAAAAAAAAAAACTTGAAAAAAAAATGAGAAATTCAGTATCACTAAAATAACATGAGAAAACAAGTTAGTTTAGCATTGGATCATCACAGGTGCAATTCCCAAACTCATCATTTCCGTTAAAACGTCTTATTTCCTTATGGGCAACAGGTATTTCTTATCCATTGCCTAACTTACTTGATAATCAATTAAACCACGTATGACATATAGTTAATAAACTTAAAAACATTTTTTTTAGGGCGCCTGGGTGGCTCAGTTGGTTAAGCGACTGCCTTCGGCTCAGGTCATGATCCTGGAGTCCCTGGATCGAGTCCCGCATCGGGCTCCCTGCTCGGCAGGGAGTCTGCTTCTCCCTCTGACCCTCCCCCCTCTCATGTGCTCTCTCTCTCTCATTCTCTCTGTCTCAAATAAATAAATAAAATCTTTAAAAAAAAAAAAAAAAAAAAAAAAAAAAACATTTTTTTAAATCTTCCAGATTAAAAACATTTTTATACAAACTTTTGTGCAGAGTTAGAAATTTTCTGTCTGACCAAGGCAAATACACATTAACTGGTTATAGGACCAGTGCTATGGGCCAAACTTTTGATATTATTAGACACTGAATTTGTCCATATCACAGA